AAGAATGTCCTTTCCGTTTGCTTGTTGTAACAACTTCATGGAAGTATAGTTGTTATATCTGGGGTGGGGAAGAAGATATAACAACTATACTTCCCACTTCTGTTAGTTCTTCAGATTTTCCTTCTCCAAGTCAGTAAATAGGGGCAGCTGTAGGGCTCTTCACAAGGAAAAGTCCCTTGTCTTTCCCCAGCATCACAACTGTTCCTTCCCTCAGTACAGACTACTTCCTGCAAATATGGCCTGTCTGAGTGATTCCTTGTCAAGGCCCCTGCCTGTTTCTCCTCAGACCCCAAATGGTCTAGGAAACATGCTACTTCTTACCTGTCCATGTACTCTGTTACCACTGATATATCTGTTTATGGTTCTACACCTTGGAGTGGAACTTGAACCTCAGCTCAGTATCCTTACCAGTGCTGTCTCGCATCCGCAGCCTTGAGCACTCTCTCTGAAATCTTCTGCACTGGTACTTGATTTCCTCCGCTTTGGGCAGTCCTCTCCTGAGGGTTTCAGCTATCTCCTAATTTTGTCAGATACAGAGACTATACTTCTGCTACCTTTTCTCTTATAGCTTTTGAGTGAAGACTGAGACACATATAAGAAAGGGTGACTTTACTCCCCATCTTTAAACCAAAAATCAGAACATACTTTTAAAACATTAATTAAATCAACACAACTTTCTTTCAGTGTACATAATAGACGCGGATTTTCTATCTAACGTGCAAAGAGCTTTTACTTCTGGCTTTGGCCTCTCCCGTGAGCTTTCTTTCCTGTACGGGTTCTCTGACGTTCAGGGAGGTTTGATTTTTTAATAAAGTTTTTCCCACATTCTACTGTACACTTACAAGGTTTCCCTCAAGTATGAGTTCTCTGGTGTACAGTGAATGTTGAGTTTCCTCTGAAGGCCTTGCCACACACAGAACATTCATAGGGTTTCTCTCCTGTATGAATTCTCTGATGTGTGACGAGTGTTGACTTGTGTCTGAAGGCTTTGCCACACTCATTACATTCATAGGGTTTTTCTTCTGTATGAATTCTTTGATGCACAATGACATTTGGTTTGTAGGAAAATGCTTTTCCACATTCACTGCACTTGTAGGGTTTCTCTCCTGTATGAGTTCTCTGATGCACAGTAAGGGTTGATTTGTTATTGAAAGACTTCCCACATTCAGTACATTTATGACGTTTCTCTCCTGTATGAGTTCGCTGATGTATAATGAGAGTTGAATAATACTTGAAAGTTTTCTTACACTCACTACATTCATGGGGATTCCTTTCTGTATGAGTACTAAGATGTATAATTAGATCAAGCTTTAGTAGGAAAGACTCCCCACATTTAGAGCATTTGTAGGTTTTCTTTCCTGGGTGGGTTTTCTGATGGATAATGAGGGTTGACTTCCGAGCGAAGGCTTTTCCACATTCATTACATTCATAAGGTTTCTCTCCTGTATGAGTCCTGTAATGTGCAATGACAGCTGCCTTTTCTCTGAAGGCTTTCCCACATTCGGAGCACTTAAAGGGTCTCTCTTCTGTATGAGTTCTCAGGTGTGTAAGGAGCTGACATTTTTGCCTAAAGGCTTTTCCACATTCAGTACACCCAAAGGGTTTCTCTCCCGTATGAACTGGCAGGTGTCTAATAAGCCAAGATTTATGGCTAAAGGCTTTTCCACATTCAGTACATACAAAGGGTTTCTCTCCCGTATGCGTTTTGCAATGTACAACGAGGTGTGATTCCGTGCTGAATGTTTTCCTACACACAGTACATTCAAAGTGCTTCTCTCCATTTTTAATTCCCTGATGTACACTAAGACCTTTCTTTTGCCTGAGGGCTTTCCCACACTCTTTATATCCACACGGTATCACTCCAGGATTTGTTTTCTCATACTCGGGGTGGAAGAATAATTTTGTATGTCCATTATCATGCTTCTTTTCTGCAAAGCTTCTACTAAATAAGTTTAAATTACCCACAATATTATTTCCAAATGATTCATGTTTATGAGGTCTTGGTATTGAAGCAGCAATCTTTGTACTCAGATATAGTGTGTTCCCAAATTCATTTGAGACACAGCCACTCCTGGTGGTCATTGTTTGCTTGTCAGAGAATCCAACTTGCGTCAAAGGACATTTATCTTGGTCATCCTGATGCTGTCTCTCAATCTGTTTTTCAATGTTGCAGACTTCTAGAAAGAAGTATAATAAACCATCTTAATACTTGGACATTATGGAACAGCCCTTCTTTAGAAATGCTCTGCCATATGAAAGTTGATAATATCTCATTTTATCAGAGTTCCTGGAGAGAGAGTCTTTTGCTAACCTCCTACCTGCTGGTCTTTTTGCTACCGAGAACAATCTTACCCTGGCATTTCAGTCCTTCTTACCTCTACTTATATATCATCTCTGACTTCCATCACCTCTAGGAACCTTATCACCCTTAAATCTTCAGTTATCACATGAACTCTTAACTGACCCAATGTATACTATTTCCACCTAGGTAAAAACACAACAGTGCGATTCCTGGACTCAAGTCTTGCAACCCTCAATCCACATTCTCAGTGAATGAGAGAAAAAAATCTAGAATAATTAACCTGTCAAAAACAAAGAAAATCCTATAAATCTTTGCTTAATCTGGGTTCACCTGTGTATGCTTCCCAGCTTGCATTCACAGTTCTTCAACACCAGCACCACCTTCTCTGCTCCCGTCCACACTATTTCCAGTAAAAACTCTACCTCTTACGAACTCTGAACCCTTCCTCGTGTTCTTTCACCCACACGACCTTGTCCTCCACATTTTGCTATATTGAGAATCTAGATAACTTTCAATAGGCACATCAGTCTTTCCAAAAAAGCTTACTCTCATCTTCTGATTTGAATTTTTATTAATATTTTAAGTAGTTTGTTATCTGTACCACTCATTTAGACAGTTAAAATTGCAAAGGCTTGCTTTTAATTTCGTATTTGATCAAGTAGGAAATGCACATTATTTTACATTTCAACATCTCTCAATCCAGATGTACCTTACAATGAATGATATGCCATAGAATAATTGGTGGCAATTTTCCCTTCTCAGTGCCATATCTTTAAATCAATGGTATCTTGAAATCAATAAAATATGGTAAATAATTTTTTGCACATATGCTTAATTTTTAA